CCGAACATTTCGGAGGCGTGGCCGCCCTTCGTGGTGGCTGAGCACCCAGCGTCCCACGGCCTCGTGAGGGGCTTTCGCTGATCCGTCGCCCGCTTGAGTCGGGAAGAAACTTCCCAGCTCGTTCTCCGCTTTGAGCGAGGAGCCACACACACGGACCTCGCTCTTCGCTCCGAGGAAAAGCATCTCTGTAACGTCCCGATCGCGACATGGGCACCTGGGTCAGGCCCCTGCCACCAGCGGGCACGGCAGCCCGCGACGGCGAGGGACTCCCACGACTCACCACGGCCGGCTGAAAGCCTCGACTTCTTGCAGCGAAGGACCAGCTCCTGTCGGCAGTCGTCGGCACCGTCCACGATGGCGTGGAGCTGGTCCGGGCTGGCCGTGTACTTGAAGAACACAGGCTGGGGGCTTTCTCCGTTCGAGCTTTTGACTTCGGCCAGCTGGGAGCCATTGTGCTGTACCGAGGTCCAGGTGGTGTCCTCTGGGCGGAAACAGGGTTGGGAGGGAGACAGGGACTGTGACTAGGTTGGAGCAGTTAAACATAATGTGAAAGTCGGAAGCCTCCTTTATCTGAATTAGGGTGTTAATGTTTGTAGCGATCAGGTCTCTTTGGCGCTGGAGTCAGCACAAGGGACACTGTTAAGCGTTAGGAATGGGGACTCTCTTTACTGGAATTCGCGTTACCCTGAAGGCAGCCAACATTGGTAGGGCCAGTTCTTAAATTCTGCGATACGATAGCCAAAGTTATAAATACAACGTTTGTCCCTTAATTTACGTCTTTCCATTACTGTAAGAAGCAGCTAAATTGCTACTGTCTGTGTAAACACCCTTACATCAATATGCGTATCCCTCTTCACTGGACCGAGCGTTTTCCTCTGGTAATCAAAGAAATGCACAGGAGACACACGGGGGGATAAGCAGCTCACGCGATCATGCAAGACGGTAGGAGACAGGATGTTTGACAAAAACTGACTGATCGTGTGTCAGCACCTCGTGCGTGCCCAGCCCCAAACGAGCACCCGCTGGAGTCACTAATATAACCATTCCTGTCAGGAACAACTGTGGGAGGCCGCAATAAGGCTTGAGACGAGGACCAAACCAGGCCCTGACTTGTGCCTCCTTTAAAGTCCGAATAACCTAACGAAAGGTTTAGGACGGGAAAAGTTGAGTAGCACTGAGACAGGGTCTGCGCTATGTGTTGTGCGCTCGCCTGTGTGACTTCCCACACGCTTGCTAAACAAATGAGAACAATTCGGTTGGGGTCATCAGTTCGTGGCGGGTCCCTGCTGCCCTAGTACAGCCCGTAAATTACTTCCAGGTTTGCTGGATCAATGCGGAACACTTGTACTGGCATCAGCCGTCTGGCGTCACGAGGCTGCTTATAGTGAAGTGTGAGACTTACTATGGGAACTCGAGGTTGTTTAACTAGACACAGATGTATTGCTTCTCCTATTGTAATATCACTGTGTATATATGGCCTTAATGCTTTGAATAAACTTAGCACTGTTGGACATCCTCCTCAGTGCTCCTCCTGCCCCCATCTCTCTGCTTCTTGAGTTCTTCATCCTCACGTTCCTGGTCGATTTGTCGCACCAGCCGTGACAACACACTAATGTCTGCTGGCAAATTCTGACCTGTTTCTGTTCCATTGATTACCCATATTTTTATAGGAGATTTTAAAACAATGGATGAGCACTCCATGGTGTTTAAAACAAAAGAGGAAGATCTCCCTTTCTTCTACCTTCCCCCAAAACCTAGCTCCTCCCACAGTATAAAAGGGCCACGGTTCAGGGGCCAAAAGGCTGGCTTCATGTGGTCCTAACGCAACTTCATTTATAACATCAAATCACATAAAACTTCCTCTGGAACACGCATCCAGTACAGACATGATCGGTTGACTTATTTCCAAATTATAGGGGCTGGAAACAGTCACGTGAGGTTTGTTCCTATTACTTTTAATGGCTAAGACCTAAACAAGGTTAAAAAATCAAATCGATGTTACCAGGAACCCTCAGAGCCCTCCCCGCCCAGCCCTCCCTGTCCTGCCCCAGGAAAAACCTAACAGCCCCACGGGTGCTCACGGGCCCATCGAATTTATTCAGAGATCCAGAGCAGAGAATGTACAGGGGCCATAGCTCAAAGCCTATGAAAAATACGTCAAATATGCAAAATCCAGCAGGAACAGGAGCAGACTGTGAGTCAGCATGACTAACGCAGTCAGTCAGGGAGAGAGTCTTCATAGATCATCCCCTCTCTCCGCTCGTTTAAGGGGCTCTGAGTGTTCCTATAGCAACTTGAATCCCACAGGTTTTTCTCCCCCCCTTTAATCATGTTTTCACCAGACATTTTACACTTCAACATTTTCCTGGAAAATTTCTTAAATGGACCTGGTGTTATTTTTTGTGATTACCTACTCACATTCACGGTCAGGGTTTCTTCCACCAGATGAAAGGGGGTGAGAGCACTGATGGAGAAGCCAGGAGCTGGGCTTGGGGATTCATGGGTTCTAATGCCGAAGGATCATTTATGTCCATGGTTTATGGCACAAAGAGAAATGCTGTGCCTGAGGGGCTCACGCAGGCTGGTGGCCGTGTGGGGGACTCACGGTTGTGCATGTTACAGTGTAATCAGAGAACTCTTTCTTGAGTGGAGAGAAGGGAAAGCATGAACAGAATCTCAAAGCTACCTTTTGAAAAAAAGAGAAATTTCAATGCTTGTCCTTTCTAGAAATATCACTTGCAAGGCCCCAGCAAGGGCTTGTTATGTTTCCTTGATATAGCACAACATGGGATTTTCATAGATTTCCAGCTGTAGCTGGGAAGGCACCCTGGAGAGGCGGCGTTACGGAAGCTCTCGAGGACGAGGAGACAGACCAAGGAACTGAAGGGACCAGCATGATGGAAAGACACTTTGCTGTTATGCACCGTAGTATGGAGCACAAACGAGATCGGGGGAAATTAACTGTAATGGGGAAAATCTCCAGCAGGACTTTCAAACTGTTGCATGAGGCCCCATCATATCACGTTCTCCGGCTCTGCAGAGCCTCTCGTCTGCCCACAAGCAGGGAGGCTAACCGGGGCTCCTGGCCCACCATTCGCTTGGGCAAACCAACCTACATTAATGTGACGCTTTGGTTTGGTAAGCAGGATATAAAAAAATAACACTGACTCACCATATCATATGGCACCCCTAGTTTCTCTTTTTATTTTGCCAAATTATATCCACTTGGCAACCTGCAACACTTCGTACACTGTGGGTTGTATCTCTGAACTATATAAGGCATCTTTTAAGGGAAAGCAGGTGGTCAAATGGGGAAAAGGAAACAGATGTATATTTTCCACGGTCGGGGAAATGTGAACCCAAGGTGGGTCTGCTATGCTCATTTTCCTCTCCCTAAGGGAAAAGAAGAAAAAAGACTTGATTGTAAAAACCCTGATGCCTGTCTAGGTGGTCAGTCTGCCCCTCACAATATGGACATTGATCTCCAGGAAAGGGAAGGCAAGAATCCCCTTTCCGACAGATGCCTGAAATGAAGTCCAAGCTGGGTCCAACACCACCTCTTCAGAAACAACACAAGCTGCCTGCATCTCTTCTGACGGGAAGTGGGTGCTTGAGTTCAAAGACAAGGAGGAAGGCAACATGCGAGGCAATGGGACCCGTTGCCTCCTACGTGCAGAAGAAGAACCAGTGGAGGATGGGCACTTACAGTGACATAGGATGGCAGAGGGATGGGAAGACTAGCAGGCATCCCTGGAGTCACCAAGATGACATGAACACTGTGTTCTGGGCAGGAGAGCCCCAAACCTTCTCAGGACTCCGCAGCGTCATGATCCAGAGGAAAACACCACAGCAGGTGGCTCCCATCTGTCTCACAGCCCAATCCTCCAGCTGCCCAGAAAATGGAAGGGAAGCCTGGGAACATCTACTCACCCAACTTCAGGAAACTGTGCCACGTCACCACGCAGTGTGGCCACCAGACCTTCTGAGGTACTCAAGTTCTCAAAGAGCACTGAGGCCTATGACCTTTCCAGAGTGCCTCATGTACCTGGGTCTTATCCTGGATTTCAAAGGAAAACACTCCCAGGGAAAATAGAACCAGATCACGGGCTCTGATGGGCACACAGAGCTGGGAGGGCCAAGCAGCTGCTGTGAACATCCAGTGGGGGCCAGAGGGAGACAATCGGTGGCTCTGATCTGCCCCTGCCCCAGACCTAGGAGGCACCGGCCCTGCCGTGTTGTCCATGTGCCATAGCCCAGGAGGATTGGACGCTTGTACTTCACCAAGGAGAGGGACAGCTCCTTGCAGCAGGCAGCCCCTGGGTCCTGGGAGAGGCCCAGAGGCCGTGCTGTCTCAGCCCCACCCCTTTGGGTCCCTCCGGATCAGTATTTGCATTAGGGACCTTACAAGGGCTGCCGTTCTTGTCATGGTTCGGAGGCCTTGAGCTTTGCATGATTCACTTTAGTATTTTCCAAGCAAGACAATGCTCTGAGACGCAACTAGACACCCCCAAGAAGTGTAGCTACTTCACAGCCTTCTTCTCCTGGGGTTTCAGAGGGTCATCTTGTCACTTAACAGGTCACACTAAGTGTAACCTTATGTGTCTTCTCAGTCATTAGTGTGGACACCTGCTATTTAACATGGAGGGACACAGGGCCCCGCCCCTGGAACCTCCCACGTGTCAGTACCGTGGAATGTCATTAGTGTCTCCCCCTGCATTTCAGCCCGCCACACAGCAAGAGAGCAGAGCAGTTTCCTCGGAGAGAACACTGTGTAGACACTTACAAAATTAGACACAGACAGAGCACTGTGTCACGGTCAACGGGAGAATATGGGCCCTAATCAGTGCTCTTGGAATCATCAAAAAATTCTCTAAGCCTTCGATGCCAAATATGGTAAATGAGGAGACTGAACCAGGTGACGTCAAAAGACTGAAAACCACGGTTCTGGCCGTCTTCAAAGGCCATTAACCAGGCACGATGCTGGCTGAGCCGCCATCTGAGGGCTGGGCTCTTACTGCTTGTCGAGACCATCTTCCTGTCCATCCACAGGCAGGGCTGTGCTGATGGGAGCGGGAAGATGAACTTTCCCAAAACACATGTCTCTCAACTCCCTTGGGAGCAGGGACAGGACCTGGTCTGGAAGTTGTGTGTTCCCACGCACACTGGGCGTGCCTACTTTGGCGACTCCCTTTAGAAGGTGCAGGAGATCAGCCAGAATGATGTCTCCTCCGTGGGAGCAGGAAGGATTTCTTCCAGGCAAAAGCCCATAGAAAAGAGATGCAGGGTCATGGTGCGTGACCATCATCAAAGAGCAGATTTTCTCTTTCTTTTTTTTTTCCTTATAAATTCTAACATCTCAACATTATAGAACCTTCTGGAAGAGATGCAATTTTTGAGCAAAACTTGCCACACGTGACATGATGATGCCATACTTACTGTCCGTCTCAGTTTTCAAGGGCAAAGCAGAGAACAACGAAATCA